CCTTTTTAAACAAGGCAGATATTCTCTCTCAGAACATGGCCTAATGTTTCTTTACTTTTGTAATAGTTTTAAAGCTATATTTCTTTTCTATGATTTTCTCTCAACAATTAAATGTCACCATATGTGTGTCAATTCTCTGATGGCACATTCTTTTCTCTCTCCTCTCTGCCGTGTTGGCACCATCCTCTGGCCTGAGGAGTAAGACAGAAGTGCCTTGCTGGCTTCAGGGAGGCAGTGGACCTGATACATCTGAAACAGATTAGCCAGGGCTGGTGTGGCGGCTCATCCTGGAGCCAGTGGCAGTTCTGGGCAAGTGGAGGAAGGGAGTACAGGATTCCAATAAACAGAATGGAAACAAGGTGAAAATGTGTAGTATACAGATCGCTTTTCTTCAACAGTTAAAAATGATCATTTATCGTTTAAAAATGTAGGAAACATGGAATATTTTCATAAATATATTAGTAGTGCATGGGTTTGTATTATTGTAAACTGTGTGTTTGTGTATATGTGTGTACGCATGTGTGTGTACATACACACTTATCTACAAAATCTCCCACTGGGGTCATTTGCAGCAAATTCATGTCATGCTAGAGTTCTAGGTGCTAATCTTGAACCTCAACCATCAGCTACCATTGAGATTTCATTCAAGGCAAAGTGTTTCTCAGTTTTAGTTGTGACTTGTTCATTATCCCATTGTCCCTGACAAGTGTGTGTGGTTGGTTCCCCACACATGAAAGCCAACCATTGATCTTCACCCTCTCAGTTGAAATTTCCACCAAAGCAGACTCTGTGCAAAGGATTTGGGTGCCAGGAGTTTACTTGAGAAGGGACGTCAGGGAGCACAGTGAGACAGTGAAAGTGAGACAACGAGAGAGAAATGCCAAGAAAGGCACGTGGATGGGCAGGTTCCACTGACAGCAGCTTGGGCTCATCTTGCCAAGGACCCTCTGAGACACGATATAGCATGAGCCTCAGTGTTGCCCCCTGAGGGCCAAGATGCTGCAGCGTGTACCCACTAAATCCTGTCTTTTGCGGTAAGAGGCACTCCTGAGGTGTCACCCCCTGGTTTCTGGCTGGTGCTAGAAAGATACAGGCAGCTCCTGCACTGAAAGAAAACTCTCTACGCTCAGAAATCACCGGTGTGGACCCACAGCCACGGAGAGCTTGGTGAGGCACCTGTGGGGTTTTTGAGAATAATGACACAAGAGCTCAGTCCAAAAACTCTGAGTTTGTGGGTCTGTGCAAGCACTTACGTAGTATATGCCTGGTGTTCTAGAAATCCATCATCCTTAACAGGAAGTAAGCAATGTACACAGAGATTTAACTCAGGAAGATAAATGTTAACATATACGGAGCTGTGCACCTAACACGCGCTGGCTTGGCTTTTGTAATTGGAGATTTCATCCTACCACGACAGCCTCCTTCCTTCCCTGTCTCTGGAAACACACTCTCATTGCTCGGAGACGTGGAAGCCTCACCCTAAGTTCAGCTCCCCTTTTAAAAACAAATTTTAAATTTGCCATAGTTGGCTATTCTTTCCTGGATTAAGGCAGGAAAAGATGGCACCTGGAAAGACTGGTGAGAGGAAAAAAATTGAAAAGAGAAAATGTTAGTAGATTTTAGGATCCTTTCTGTCTTCATCCTGTCAGTATGAAGCATTATTTTTTTCTGAGTTAAAATGCTTATAATCACAGAGTCTCACTGTGTATGCTCATGCTTATCTGTGTACAGGTCAACAGAATTATACCATGTTTAGATTCTACCTGTGGGCCCACCTATGTATAGAGAACGTGTTTTTAAGAAGATAAATCATTACCTTCCTGACATGAACATTTGTATGAGCTTTTTCTTTGTGTAGCAAAGATCAAGTTGCTTGGCGATGTTGACACATCTTTGTCTCTCTCTCTCTCTCTCTCTCTCACACACACACACACACACACACACACACAAAGTGGTACGTAAATCTGATGTCCAAACTGATTTTCATTCTGACTTCCCAGCTCGAAGTACCTGGCTGTCCATTTGATACCAGAATTTCGCTCTTCAGTAGGTCCTTGGTCTTGGGGATTTGAGGTATGAACCCACAGACCGGCGGCAAGACAGGATTTTTATTAGAAGTTAGAAAGGAATACAGAAGTAAAAGGCACCAGAGCTTCTGGTGGGGGAAAGAGCTATGTAACTGGGGAGTCTCTACGTGGGCTCTTTATCTAAGGGTATTAGGTCTTGAGAATTACATTTGGCCAGGACTTGCCAAACAGAAACATGTTTTCCTCTTTAATGTGTGTTATTGACAAAGAAATGAATGCAGCCCCTCCAGTTCAGGGTGTTCCCTTTACGAACTTGCCTAAACCTAGGAAAACTGGGGTCCCCTTTCCAGCTTTGAATGGGAGACCCCTGTATCACCTTCTTGCCATTTCCCATGAGAGGTTAAATATTTTGTATTTCTGGCAAGTGCTCTGTGTCCCAGGGAGGGAACACATATGCTCCTGGTGCAACAGGCTAGCTAGGCCTGTCCTGCTAACCTTTCCTTGTTTCATAGAAAGGCCATCTATAAAGTGCAACAGAAGCCTGGAGAGACGTGAGAGACCGGCTGAGAAGCATCTTTCCTCAACTCTGAGCAACATCACATTGGTAGCTTAATGTTGGGCACAGTGGGACTATTGACACCATAGAAATTGGCACACACACTATAGATCATACCACAAACCTATAAGCCTCCACCCTCACGTCCCCTTGCTAACCATTTACCAGGATACTACTAGAGTGGGCCTTTTATAACCCACAAAAAGAAAGCAGGCCCCTTCTGCTAAGGCTGCTCTGAGTGTTGGGATACAACTGATCCTGGGACCTGCACCTCAGGCCTGCCTGGGCTGCGGGTGCCTTGACTGGCAGGTGGTGCTGAGATTCCTAATAGACAAGCCCTTCTAGGTGAGGCCTGCCACGGGGCAGACACACAGTTTTGTCAGCAGCTATTTTAGCTTCCTGGCAGCTGGCACAGTGTGGGATCCTCATTTGCAGATCTTGTTTTTTTCCCAGTCCTTTCATTTCTAAAAATTCTTTAAAGATCTAATACGTTAGTATGTTGTGCAAATTGGAAACTGACTGGAAGTCCCAAGGGCCCCTCAAGTAGTCCATCCCTATGGGACAGGCCCAGTCCTCTCATCTGTACAAACATTGCCACCAGGGCTGCAGAAGGCACGCACCCAGGGAGTCCTGTCTTCCAGCTCTTGTTAACATGATTCGGTGCAATTACTCTCTTCAATAAAGAGGGCAAAGTTGCCTTATTTTACCCACAGGCTTATTGGTCAGAAAAATACTGACTTTTGCATTACTGAGGAAAACAGGAAGAGAAAAAATCATTACAGATTAAATTTCAGTGGTCTCTAGGGATAAGAATTCAAAGGAAAGACAGTCTTTCCAGCACTCCCTATGCATCTCAGATTTTAGGCCTACATTTTATAACTATGGCCTTATTTTGCAGAAAGCTCTGAGGCTCCCTTAAAGTGGCCCATGTTCAGTTCCTTGTTAATGGCTCGATGGTGTTTTAGTTAGTCATGAAAATGAAACAAAAAAATATATATAATGCATAATTTAAAACAAATCAGCCAGAAACCCACCCTTAACCACACACTTCCACTCTCCCGCCCTGATCAAATTTCAATAAAGGCTTTAAATATGGAGAAATTTTTGAGTATTGTAATGATTCAAAATTAGACCAAGAGAGGGCAAGGAAGTAGCTAATTTACTCTCAGAAATTGCTCTGCACACATTACCCGAGGCAGGTGGTTGTTTCTTTGCATCATGTTCTACCCCCACCTATGGCGGCACTCAGGAAATCACGACAGAAGAGAAATACGGGAGAAGGAAGGAAAGCAGAGAAGGTTTCGGGGGCCAACTACTTTTTATTACTTCCAGAAAGATAAGACAGAAAACACTTTCACGGCATGTAGCCTTGCTCTAAGTCAAAAGGTCAAGTTGAAATATTTGGCCCAAATAATGTTCAGCGAGTTTGTGTTTTCTCCTCCAGATGGAGGGTCTTCAAGATGAAGATACAGATAGACCTTGGGCCTACATTGGTCAAGGCCACGTCAGCAGGCCACTGGGGGCGGGGGTAGAGTAGGTGGGTAGCTTGGTCTCTGATTCTCAGCAGAAATGAGCCACGGGAACGATTCTCCCAGGACTGTCCTAAATAGGTCAGTCCCCAGGGACACCAGAAAGACATAGAAGAGGCACTATCTATAGGAAATGGGCTCTAGAAGCAAGGAGATCCTTAAACCAAGGGCTTTTAAGCAGAAATGACACTCTCATCTCTAATGGACTTAGATGGACCAGTATTCTGAAAAACAAAATTCCCCAAGGGCTGGTTGGATTGACTGGATCACAAGTGCCAAAAAGAGGTTCTGCTTTTTTCTGTGATTTTAAATCCCCACCTAAACACCTATTTCCTATAAAAACACTTGCCATTATAAAATCCCTAGAAAAAGAAAAGCTAGTTTTCAGCTGACCTCAAAAGCCTAGACACGGAAGGTCACGGATGTGAAGGTTCCCAAGGCCAGGTCTTTTTTTCCCACGTGGAGTCGACCCCACGCATTACCACTCATTAGCAATGTTCTAAGGGGGAACTTGTAAGCCAGGCACCCACCAGCGTACAGGGGAGTGTGAGTGCTTCCTGCTGATCAGAAGATCATCTCAGCTTGACCCTAGGCAGCTCTTTCTGTCTTCATTGGGCAGCTATTTACGGTTTTAAACAGTTATTTATAATCTAAATTAGGGCAAGTTGTTTAAAGAGAAAATTTGATAAATACTACCAATATGTGTATTTCCACTAAAGGAGACTGTTATTTCTGATCACACACAGAGAAGGGAAACGGTTTTTGGTGTGTGCTTTTAGGAAGAAAACATGTATTTCGATACTCCTTATAATGAAAAACATTTTGAGAGGGGCTTGGGCAACTTCGAGGGAAGCAATACTCAAGAATGAAGAATACTGTAGTACAGAATTATGGCCAAAAATACTGTATTTTTAACCAGCAAGTTCATTGGGGCATTATTATACAACATTAGGTGTTTTTTCTTTTGCAAAACTAGTTCCCATCCCCAAACAATAGACAATACATGCATTCAAATGACATTTTAAGAACAGTAAATATGATTTTTTTTTAAATACTGCGAGTTAAAAATGTTTTTCTGACAAAACTCCCTAAATACATAGGTCTAGTAAGGTTTTCCAATGTGATGATGGGTGAGGAGTCCAGCAAGAAGTTGCATTTTTTGAGGAAAAGAAATTCACCAAAAACAAGTTTCAGTCAAAGCAACCTGGACAAAGTTACATGGTCATTTTCTACCTTTCTTTCCTAAATGTAAAAATATTCTATGGAAGAAAGCCTTCCTCTCTGTTTTCTTTTCTGTCTACCAAATGCTTATATAAAAGTCAGAATTCCTTTATCCAAGCAAGATCCAGTTTTACCCAATAGGTATTTTCATTAACATGTAAATGTCATTTACTACTGGGTTGGAATCACTGGAGAAATGGATGGTACATGGTAGATAAGAAAGATGAGGAGAAAAATTAATATTTGAGCACCTACTATGTGCTGGGTGTATATGCATACTTTTTCAATGTATGATTCTAGAGGCAAGAGTGTTATTGAAAGGGCAGTGGTGGTGGGGAAGACAGCAGGAAATGGTTTGTTATTCTCTGAGAAAAACAAATGACAAGTTTAGACTCTGCACTAAGTTATCTACTAAACAGCAGGTGTCTGGCTCCATAAATTTCTAGCTAATCATATACAACTAAGCCATTTCTTTTCCTAATTGATGGAACGAAAATGAAACCCCAAAGACACAGTTACCAGGACAGATCTATTAATGCCACATACGCTGGAAATATGTAGAGAAAGATTAACATACAATACTACTAGTTTTTGTTTTGTGTTTCTAACCAAAGATGTATCTTTGGAAGAAAATATTAATGTATACCAAGCACACCTTATTTGTGTCAATTGAGATATTGTTGATTACCAATTAAGTGGTTTTAAACCCTTATTTAATTTTAAGAAGAGCAGCAATATACATTACAATAGTTGGGTACACTTTATTTTTATATGGGTTAACATTCTGCTATATTTCATTTCATTCATTCTTTTTGAGAAACTGAAAACAAAGGGAAATCGAGGGTAATCAGAAGGTAATTTGAGGGTAATTTCCAACCAATATCTGAGTCTTGCAGTATCTTATTATGCAGCCCTTTCTTCCCATTATTTTTTTTTTATTTTTTGCAAATAATAAAGTCATTTTGACCCAAATCCAGCATAAATAGCTTTTCACCAATTCCTAACTTAAGACAACTAAAATTTACAATCATGTGGCAGTATAAATTTTAAAATTACAGTTCACACACTTTGACAATCAAGATAGTCTGAAATACAAAAAGTAAATTGCCCTTTAGCTGAATTACCTTTTTAAAATATTATGCCTTCTAGTTAATCTACCAAAAAAAAAAAATAATAACACAAGTTTCAGGTGTTCAATTCAAATTCCTTGTGTAGATGTCATCTACTAGTAAACAACATATGCAGGTTCCTAAGATTCTTTTTTCCAGTCTCTTCATGACATTCAACAGAGCTCTTTATATGGAAATGTTAAAAAAGAAAAAAAAAAAAACTTCTAAGGGATTTATTTACTTTTCAATGGGTGTGTTATTTCCCTTTGTTTCAGATATGAGGCACAAACTTCTGAATTTAAGCTCTGTAAGGCATAGTAGAAACCTCCAATTTACAAATAAGGAATTCTCTGGGGGTTGGAACTGCCGTGTCACGCAAAAAAAGGGAAAAATCATCTGTAAACTGGTACACTGCAATGTGTTAAGTGAGTCATGAAATGGCTGCTTGCCTTGGTATGCTGAAGAAAGGTTTCTGTGTTTTGTTTTGCTTTTGAATAAGACATGCCCAAGTCACCATAAAACTCGCCACAGGCCTCCATGACCTAGAGCATCAACAGTAGGAGTCCAGCGGCACACGCTTGGAACGCTTGCAATCACGATATAATAGAAAGCATGACTAAACTTTGTTTTTATACAAAACTGAAAAGAATCCCTGCCCACCCTTAGCCCCTTCAATAAAACCCCAAACAAAGAAATGAGAAAGAAAATCCTTTAGCTTTGATTGACTAGTGTGGATACAATTAGGTTTCTATGTATCACTGTAGCTAGGGTGATCAATTTTTTCCTTTCTGAAGAGAAGGGATCTTGTCATGCACCCTAGGATTAAACAGTGAAGCCACAAACCTCAGTTCTGCATAGCAAATTCCATCCCAATTTCATAAAGACAAATATAACAATCTTTTCCCTGTTTTGCTCAGCTTCTCTGAGCACTGAGATCAGGTTTAATTGACTACATCTACTATAGCTCTATTAAATAGAATATCTTGATTCCCTAAAACTGTAACACTTATGATCTGGTGATGAGGTTTACTCTATACACACTGTAGGCCTTCAAACGTTGTCGTTTACTTTTTTTTTTGTTTTGTTTTTTTTGTCGTTTTTTTTGTTTGTTTGTTTTTTGTTTTTTTTGCTGCACCAAATTTAAGATTGCCTTTTCAGGCAAGCAGTGGTCTCTAGCTGTTAAAACATTTCCTTAGTGGATCACAATAGCTTCTAAAACTGCCTTTCTAGTAAAGGCCATCAGAGAGGTAATACTAAACTGTGCATTTGCCAAATAAGAATATGAATCGTATAAAAGCTCATATTCCAATCCTAGATCAAATGGCAAAAGTTCTACAAAGTTGGTTTCCATGTTTGTATAAAAGCTCCAACTGATTTTATGTATTTTGCTATGAAATTACCTTTGGGTCTTATAATCAGTATACCTCTAGTCAGGAATGTGCAAATGATTTTATACAGCACGATGCTAGTACCGCTCTGTACGATAGTAAGGTTTTTTTTTCTTCTTTTCTAAATGGAAAAAAAAATAATCCCTAGTCAGAAATAAACTGACAAATTTACATTCTCCTCTCTTAAAAAAGTAAATAAAATAACATTCAAAATGTGAATTAGCTATAAGACATACAATACAATTACATAGATACATATCAATACAGCACATTCAATCTGCCAAAAAATTAATGATTACAAAGCCAGTATGGATGCTGCAATATCAAGAGAGATGTATGTACAATGATTAGAGCATTTGTAATTGCACTACACCTACAGGCAGTCTGTTAATTAAATTACAGGTGCTTTCTGAGCAATGATAAAAAGAGTAACCTGTGTTGTCTGAGGCTGGGAGAGTAAAGAATGAGAATCTTTCATTATTGTTTAGTAACTTTGGTATTCGTCTAACAGGTTGTTAATTTTCTCCCTCCCCTTTGTTGTTCCGAATGAGTGACGTACATGGAAGTTTAGTGCCAAACACCATCACGATGGTTCCAACGAGACCAGTATCATGGCCTAATTCTAACTTCCCAGCAGCTTATTTTCTCAAAGCACATTTCAACTCAAACTGCTTGACAGAAACTCGTCAATACATGTACTGTATTTTTTGCTGAAAAAAATTGCACGTACACAATTCCAAACTTCTCTCCTGCTAGGTTCAGTTACATAAATACATATTCTCTAGAACACTGAGAGGTTACTTTTGAGTTAAGTCCACAAATAGTCTTTAAGTTCAATCTAACTAGTCACCAGTTCAAGAAGATCCTGAAGGTGGTGAACCAGCAGTGTAACTTCAGATTTTATAAATTAAAGGAGGCAGAATACTACTGCCAACCAACGTTCCTGGCAGACTTACTCGGACTTAACATAAAAGAGAGTAAAACTGGCTTCAAATAAAGAGACGTATGTAGACTTCATGTCAAACCACACAGGATACTTGTCTACACTGCCAGTTTGGACACTCACCAAGGGTCATGAACACTAAACAGTGTGATCTTAAGGACAAAGGAAAAAGAACCGACCTTAAGATTCAAATTTACAGTTACCGGCTATTTGGCAATTGGTCATTCTGGTTCATTCTCAGCCAGTCATGTTAGGCTTCACAGTCTTATTCTCTTACATTTTAAAATACCAGCTTTTATTTTTTAAGTTCTTCTTATTAATTTCATTTTACAAAAAGCCAGCTTTGGCAACACATACCCATAATAAAAGTTGTTTTTAAAAATTGTGGCCCAAACACTAAGAAAAAAAAAAGAAGAAGAAGAAGAAGAAGAAAACATTTGAACCCAAAACAAAACAAAACAAAATTTAAGAACAATCTACAAAAGGTTCTGGGTAGCAGCCATTGGGATAATGTAGTGTCTGTTGGCGTATTTTTTGGCATCTGCAATTTAAAGAGAGAGTGAAAAGAGAAAAAGAAGCAAAGAAGGGAGGAAAGACAATGGCACGTGGCATTTCATAAGAAAGAACTCCTGTGTGTCACTGCCCTTGCCTTGCTGACTTCTGTGCGTTAGGATCAAACTATGGCTGAAGGTAACATCCAAAGGAAATGACACTTAACCATATGGTGGGCACCACTGTCCCAGTCCAAAGTGAGACAAGACAATGTATCTATTAAAAAAGAAACTATATGTGTATCCAGAGCAATACATTTAAAACCATAGTATTAATACATACAGTCCTTCAGCAACAACTACAAACTGTTAAATTAAGCTGATGTCTGATGGCTTAAATCGAATGACTTTGTCCTGACTGTATCATTTGAGAAAAACTTGACCAAGAATGGAACTAAGATAAAGGCCGTTACAACCTGGGAAAAATTAGGAGGGAGGTGTGGATTAGGAAAAAGGGAAATCAGTTTTGTTTTGCTTTATAGAAAAGGAGAGACAGAAAGAAGGGGTCAGAAGGGGAGAGAAAGAGAGAGAGAAACAATTCTTATCTTTGTGAGTGCATGACTGAGAATTTAAAATACATTGAGTCACAAGGTTTTGCCTAAAAAAAAAAGATAGAGAGGAAATGTGCTGGGACTGTACTTTAGCATCCTCTGTTTTTCCTCTGAATAGTTTAAATAAAATCATAATATTTACTACAAACTCTGTGGACACGCTCACACAGAGTCCAGGACGGCAATAAATTAGTATTATGCAAATTGTTTTCCACAGAAATACAGTCCCTCTTGTATCTCTTCAATAGCCCACCAGGGAAGGGAAGGGCAGGTATCTAGGAGGCACAATTAGACCAGATTGTACTCCTTCAGATTCAACTGGAGGATGGTGTCCTTGACGGCAGCAAAGACAAAGCGGATATTCTCGGTGTCTGTGGCGCATGTGAAGTGGGAGTAGATAATTTTGTCACTGTCTGGGTTCAGGTCCACGAACATCTTCAGGATGAATTCTCGAGCTGCCTGGGCATCTCTCTGGGGTCCTGGGGGTGAAGGGATGAGAGAGACAGCTTGTTAGCTGATCTGCTAATACATTCATTCATCATTCTTCAGTAAATGCGTCCTCTGTCACTGACCAGGAAGATCACATGGGAATAACAGATTTGATCTGTTACAACCATTTTTCCCACATGACCATGTTTGTCCACCACCCTGTCTATCCATCCATCCATCCACAAAATGTGGATAAGTGAAAACAGATGACTTGAAGGCTGATTCCTTGAGTGACAGGGAGTCAGTGCAGACTCTTCGGCAGGCAAGTGAAGGCTTATTTCTGCTCACAATTGGCTTAACTCTGCAGATTTCAGCTACATAAGTATATGAACATGGCTGCCAAAGGCTCCCTTGTCAATCTGTCTTCCAAAGACCTGACATGGCATTATGGGTCATCTAAAACTCTCCAGCCTGAAATCTCTCTCAGAATTGAACACCTGTTCCTTAAAATCAGGTCCATTAACCAAGGTCCTTTGCAGACTCATTTTTATAGACTTCGGAGTACACGACATTTATGCAGCCTTCAGTTCACTGTGTGTAAGGATAAAAAAATTGTTTATATTCTCTTACATTGATTTGAGGTCTCTTCTGTGCCAAATATTTTCCTAGATGCTTTGAAAAAGGATTGTAATGTATTTATTGGGATAAACTAAAAACTTATTTGATAATTTTGTAATGAATTTGTAGATTATGCCAAAGCACAGGTCATATTTTTCTCCAAAAGAAAAAATAGATAAATTAGATTTCATCAAAATTAAAAACTCTTGTACACCAGTGGACATTATTAAGAAAGTGAAAAGACAACCTATAGAATGGGAGAGAATGTTTGCTAACTATTTAACTGATAAAGGGTGAGTATTCAGGATATATAAAGGGCTCCTACAACTCAACAAGAAGACAAACAACCCAATTAAAGAATTGGCAAAAGACTTGAATGGACATTTCTCTAAAGAAGATATACAGATGGCCAATAAACACAAGAAGATGTTCAACATTATTAATCATTTAGGAAAATGCAAATCAAAGCCACAATGAGATATCACTTCACATCTAGAATGGCTATTTAAAAAAGTGGCCTGTAATCCCAGCATTTTTGGGAGTCCGAAGCAGGAGGATTACTTGAGCTTAGGAGTTTGAGACCAATTTAATCAACATGAGGACCCCCCCCCCACCCAGTGCATCTCTACTAAACATAGGAAAAAAGAGCTGAGTGTTGCAGTGGGAACCTGTAGTCCCAGCCACATGGGAGGCTGAGACAGGAGGATCAAATGAGCTTAGGAGTTTGAAGTTGCTGTGAGTTAGGCTGATGCCAAGGCACTCTAGCCTGGGGCAACAGAGTGAGATTTTTGTCCTCCCCCCCCCCCCAAAAGTGGAAAGTAACAAGGGTCGGGAAGCAATGTGGAGAAATCTGAACCCTTGTGTACTGTTGGTGGGAATGTTTGGTACGGCTTCATTGCAGATTTGATCTGTTATAATGCATCTTTAGCTAAGCATAAAATTACCACATGACCTAGCAATTTTGCTCCCAGGTAGATATTGATGGGAACTGAGAGTAGGGGCTCTGACAGATACTCATACACCAATTTTTATAGTAGCACTGCTTACAAAAGCTAAAAGATGAAGCAACCCAAGTATCTATTAACAGATGAATGGATTAACAAAATGTGGCATATACATACAATAGGATACTATTCAGCCATAAAAAGGAATCAAGTTCTGATTAATGCTATAATATGCATGAACCTTAAAAACATACTAAGTAAAATAAGCCCAATATAAAAGAACAAACATGATTCTACATATACATATGAGGTACCCAGAACAGGCAAATTCATAGAGACAGAAAGTATATTAGAGGCTACCAGGGGCTTTGGGGAGGGGGAAACGAGTACTGTTGCTAACTGGGGTGATGAAAACATTTTGGAGATACTGATGACGGCAGCACAGTGTTACGAATGTAGCTAACACAACTGACTTAAACACTTAAAAATGGTTAAAATGGCTAATTTTATATGTACTGTGTGATTAAAAAATTATTACTGTAACACAAGAAACCACTGTTTTATACCCTCTAAAAAGTTGAATTATATGATACGTGAGTCATATCTCAATAAAGCCATTCTTTTTTTTTTT